CCCAACCAACCAGTCCATGGTACCTTGGTCGGAGGCGACGTGATCGTCCCCTTGATATCGTCGTGGTGGTTGCGCCCCAAGAATGACGAATTGCCCTCCATGTCGAGCTTGCCGCGGAGATCGGACGACACGTCGTGAAACTCGCACTCGCCTGCAAACTCAAACATGCGCTCCCCCAGCACGACCCCGTGCATCTAGAGTCAAATGAGACCCGTTCACTGTCATGGCAAGCCACAGACTTTGAACTTTGGCATATCATAGTGCACTTCGGACCCGTTGGCAAAGCGCACGGTGACTTTGCCAGCCTGGTACGCCATCGGATGAAGAATTGCAGGGGCGGCGGGTCACAAGAAGGGACTCGGACCTGGGCGTTGATGAGGGTGTTGGCGGCCAAATGGGCTTCGAATTCACACAGCCCGGACAGGGTAAACAGCGCGTTCGGTCCTTCCACGAAGTACGCGCTGATGGGCGGGTGGTGCCTGCAAACGACCACAAACATCACGTCAATTGGTGACGGCGTCACGAGAGCTTACTGCACGTGCTCCAAGTACACAGACGTGCCGTCGGGAAACGTGCTCTGGTACGTCTCGCCCAAGATCGGGTTGAACGGTTTGCTCTGGCCAACGCAAAAGTGCAAACCCGCCACGACGAACGCCATCACATGCTGCAAACGGTCGAGTGGCTCGGTGGCGTGAGCCGCCTTGGCGAGCAGCGTCGGTGCGTATGCCCTAACGAAGAAGACCACGTGTAAGATGCGCGACCTCCATGGGACGGCAAGGGAAATCGCACCACGCATCTGGAATGCGCTCGAGGAGCGATCGCGGCTCAAAAAGGCGAATGGGGAGGGACAGCCTCACCGCGAGCTTGCCACTGAGCAGCTGCGCGCCAAGCTGAAGCATGATGTCCTTGACAACTCCCTGTTGTTTTTTCAGCACTTCTTTGTCGTCGAAAATCACGCCGCCCTTCTTGTTGTCCCTGAATCCTTTGAACCAGAGCATGCGGTCCTTCACTTGGGCCTCTGTCCACGCCTCTTTGATCGAGTGGCTCGGCTGTGGAGTCAAGATCGTCACAGACAAGGGTGGTGTGGCCGCGACCGGTGCGGGGGGCGGTGGTGCCAGCGCTGTCGACATGATCAATCCGACTCTGACCCAACTCATGATGGCACTTGGTTATTTTCAGGATGGATGTAATCTCGACCAATCCGAGTGCTGCAATTCGTTTTCACTGCTCTTGATTGGTCCATTTAGTAACTGCCGTTCAACGGCGGCGCCATCTTCTGGCGACCACGAAGATCTCGAGCGGATGGATCCTGTGCATGGCCGTTCCGTTGAGGTAGATTACGTGTTATGACGGAAGGCCTCCGACCTCGTGCACCCGTC